TGTCAAATAATTTGTCTTGCGGAGTAAGTGTGTTCATTTAAAATAGGAATATATTCGTAAGGAATGGCACTGAAAAGACTCATTTCTGTAAGAGCTCACTGGGTTGGACAAAATTCACATTCCATATGCATAGATTAAAAAAACCCAAGCCACTACATTTTAAGTAGTGGAAGTTTTATGTACACTATCACTTTAAGGCAGATATGGAAAGAAGACTTGTTTGGGTAGGGTGTTGGCCAAACTTCTAAAGAAGCAATGGTAGTAAAGTAGTAAAGCATGCCAACTTAATGAAAAATAGTCTGTCATTCAGTTAGGAGGCTGTGATCGGATATATTTAGATGTCCTGTTTTCCATCTGAATGAAAGTAACCTCTGCTCTTAATTCCCAGTGCTCAGCCTTGTGTGCATTCCGTTGTTTTGAAACTTACTTGTTTTGAAAACGGTAAACTTCCTGTAACTTTCTTGTAGCCACCGTATCCAGGCATGGAGCAGCCACCACACCACCCTTACTATCAGCATCATGCTCCTCCACCTCAAGCTCACCCTCCATACTCAGGACATCATCCTGTACCACATGAAGCAAGATACAGAGACAAACGAGTAGTAAGTGTCCACAGGACATGAGTCTGCAGGCTATGGAGTACAGATGTAGCCTAACCTGAGATTTGTTGACTTGGATAAACTGGATTTTTAAGACCTTAGTTTTCTGTGGAAAGATCAGTTATTTAGATTGACTAGAGACTTGCAGGAAAGTTCTCAGAACATACTCTTAAACTGAGGTGTGTGCTTAAAATGGCTTCTAGCTGTCTAGCTCTGAACTTTTCTCTCTGAAGCCCAGTTTGAATAAGGGCATGCCTGTAATGTGGCTTGTGCTCATGCACAACAAATTATCAGCAGAAAAGTTTGTGGTTTGTAAGTTTTACAGGCACATCAAAAAACAGGGCAGATTGTTAAATAATTTCTGTTAGCTGGCTTTGAAAGCTGCTTCAGCTTTCAGATGGTGTCTGGTATTTGAACCCCAGCTTCTGCACAGTGAAAGCACAGACGTGGTGCTGCCCTGAAGATGTAAGAAGAAGCTTGTGCTTATGGATGCCGGACATAACTTTTTGGTTTTTTTTAAAAAAAAACCATACTGGGCTTTCCAAAGAGTTACTGCCAATCCTATGGATAAGGGAAGGGAGGGGATTTTAATCTGTGAAAGAAAATGAACAGAGCTGTCCTTTCATCACAGCACGACTACGACATGAGAGTAGACGACTTTCTTCGCCGCACACAAGCAGTCGTCAGCGGTCGGAGAAGCAGGCCTCGGGAGAGGGACCGAGAGCGGGAACGGGACCGTCCTAGAGATAATAGAAGAGACAGAGAACGTGACAGAGGCCGTGATCGGGAAAGGGAGAGAGAGAGGATTTGTGACCGGGACAGAGACAGAGGTGAAAGAGGTAGATACCGAAGATAATCTATCTGGAACCAGTGCTCACTTGAAACAAAAAAAGCTTGTATTTTTTTGTGTGTTTACAAGTAGTACATTTTATTTTCAGCTGTCTACTTAAAGTTCATTGTGTAGAAGGATTTATAATGCCCTCTCTATTCCAAGCATGCAGTGAACTATGAACTGGAAAAACTCAAATCAGCCAAAAATAAAATACGCAAAGCTGACACTCAACTTGGCGTTTCTATTGGAGCAGAATGGGAAACAGCTAAGAGTGTAGATACTGATTGATTTTCAATAAGTGTTCATCTACTTAGTGACTCATTCTAGGTTTTTGAATACTGATGGATAACTGCCATATTTTTTTTTTGCTTTGATGTTTTCTTCCTGTAGTTTCACATGGTTCAGTGGGAGAATGCTGCTATCAAGTATGCAAATATTGAAGTATGATTTGGTTTTGATTTTTTTTTTTTTTTGACTGTATGGCAGTGTTGTAGCAGCCTTTT